TCTCAGAAGAAATGGGGGGAAATAAGCTTGTTGACTTCTTGCTTAAAGTATTTTCTTGTTCTTAACTCATGTTCTTATGTCACTGGGCTAAAAAGGAGAGAGTCAGAGAGAGAGAGAGAGAAGGTGAGAGAGACAGAGAGAGAGAAAGAGAGGAAAAGGGAGAGAGAGGGAGAGAAGAGATATGACTTTCCTTGAATGATCTGTTTAACCTAAGCCAGAGGAAAAAAAAGAAAGTCATTAATTACTTATGTGAGCTATTGCTTCAGAAAGACAATAAACCTGCCCGGTCGCCATGGATATGACATATTTGCTCTGAAAACAACACAATAATTAGCAAAGGGGAAAGATACAAGGAGAATATGCAAACTCCTGAGTTTAAAGCCACAGTGCTCTTTTTACTCCTAAGCCCCTGCTCTGTTTGCAATCCAAATCAAACAAAAATTTAAAATATAGCAAAGAGGGAAATAATAAGAATGACTCCTCTCTCCTCTAAGCTGAAAGGCAACCACCATTCCACCCCCCCTCCAAAATAAGATAATATAAAAGAGAAGCAGAAGGGCTGAAGGGTGTGGGGGGGTCAAGTATTGCCTATGTTTTATTTCCTATAACAGGGGTGGAGTCTTGGGGTGTGTGTGTGTGTGTGTGTGTGTGTGTGTGTGTGTGTGTGTGTTTTAAGTGTACTCTTATTTAGTATTGGACCTTCTGGTCGGATATAAATTTGTGAAAGCCAAATGCCCTGTATGGCTCACCCCTCCCCAACGTAATGGAAATGTGAAATGGGGGGGGGGGTCTAGTTGAAGAAGCAAAGCTGCCTATTCAGAGAACACCAGCTCTGTACAGGGACAGCCACTCCCCCTACCTCCAAGAAAATGGAACCTGGGCCTTACTTTAATATTAAAAATGCATTAAATGGTTTTACCTACAACTTAGTCTCGGAGGATCATTAGGAAATGCAATCGCTTTGTATCATATCTGTCAGCATGATAAATATCTGAGCCAGAGTAGGTTCACAATTTTTCAGTGTCAAAAACCACGATAATTTTTTTTCTGCTTTATTTCTTCATTCACTGTGCCCCCCCAAAAAAAATTCACCAAAGTCACAAGTCTACAGAAAAAATACCTGAGCAGAGAAGAGGACAGAAGAAGGAAAAGTTGATACACTCTGACACACCAGACAGATGTTACTGGTATTCTCTTAAAAAGCAAGGAAAATAGGACTTTTAAATATTTGTATATTTTCCAAAAAAAAATAAATTAATTAAAGCACTCCATTAACTTTGAGTAAAAACTGCTTTCCCCCTCTTCCCAGAGGCTAATTTTCCAAAAACAGATGGTCAGGATCTAAAAGAAAAGCAAGTATACCTCAACCCCCACAGGCAGAGAAATCTAACTTTGAACTTCTTTTTAAATTAAAGTGGGGGGGGGGCTAGATAAACTATTAATAAGTCTGAAAAATGAACTGAGTTTTGTTTTTCTTATTCAAAAAATCCTTTAAACACAAGGGGAACAGATATAAATGGGGAGGTTCATATTTAACTGACTTTTCTATTTTTTTAAACAATAGTTGTGTTTTTTTTTTTAAAGATTGGACTCTTTGATCTTGAAAGAATTTTGCTCTTCTATGATGGGGGGAAAGGGGTGGTGGTGAAATGATCTGTTTTAAATGATGATGCAACTTAGGGATCAAAGCCTTCTCTTTCTGCTAGCCATAATAAGCTGTACTTGCCACAAAGCGTGAGTCTCCCGGGCTCCTCTCCTTCGTCAGAAGGAAGTAAAATGCGCTGAGACTCAGAGCAAGACTCGAAGTCTCAGCAAGGTGCAAAGTCTAAAAAACAAAACAAAACAAAAAAGGGCAAGGGGGAAAAAGAGGGAGGCACTGCCCCTTTAAACGTTTTAGTGCATATGGAGTTTGATTTCTGAAAGAGATCAGTTTAACATCTCCATAGAAACCAGCAACAGATTATCATCAACAGAATAAATAACTAGTCTAATAAATTAAACAGGAGGCATAAGATCGCTGGAAACCTGATTACTGAAGTTCAACAATATTCCCCATAAACTCTCGTTAACCGCCTCTAAGGTGGCTAACAAGATGGGGGGGGGGTCATCTCTCCAATTCGCTGTGTTCCTGGGAGAGAGACGGTAGTCGCGGCCGGGAAGGGAGAAGTTCTCTACAGAGTCAAGAGCTCCAGAAAGGGGCAAACCGTAAAAGTCAAAAGTTTGGCAACTGGGAAAGCGGCTGGGGACCGGGGGAGTTGGTGTGGGTCGCGGGAGATGGCGCGGGTCTCGACGACCGCCCCGGACGCACCGCCTCTCAGCCACCAGGGCGCAAACCCGGCGCTTTGCGCTCAAGCGCCGAATGGCCCAGCGCCCCCTCCGGGCACGTGGAGCGCAGCCCGGGCGCAGCCCCCGGGGACCAACTACCCCCCCACCAAGCCCGGCGCAGCTGCTCCTGCTCAGCCCGGACAGCTCGCTTTAGGACGGCGGTGTGTGTGTGTGTGTGTGTGTGTGTGTGTGCGTGTGTGTGTACGCGCGCGTGTCATGGGGGGGGACCCAATGTTACCCGGCGGTCTGTTTTCCAGTCCCCTCGCACGCTCTGCCCGTGCGCCTGTACTCGCTTAGAGGCGTCCTAAATTTACCAACTTTGGCCAACAACTACCCGATCTTTCTCCCCCACCCGCACCCACGTCTGCGAGAGTACAGGGTGTGGGCGCAGAACCACACACACTGAGGGCCGTGTCCCCCGACTCCGCTGGAGCAGCGACACAGACCCCCGCCAGTCTCCCAGATCCAGCGGGGTTTGGGGGAGCTCCGGCTCAAAGGAGGAGTATTACTGCTGCTTCCTAGGTGGATAAAATTTACGCACAGGCACACGTACCGGACCCGCACTTCCCAGCTTGATGGGAAGGAGGTCCACGCCGCACCCAGGCCCGCTTCCCAAGCTGAGCCTGTGTCAGGAAAAACTTATGCGGAGGGAGAAGCGGCCCACAGCCTCCCTCCGCGCTCCACTCCTCCCCCAACTCGGGATCCGGGTCTGGGATGACTTGGAAGAATCTGCGCCCACCCCCAAGAGAAAAATCTATTATTATGATCTTAATCTACGCCCCCAAAGTGTCCCTCTCGCTGTGATTGACGGCGCATACACCTGTTCCCCTCGCGGAGGAGCTTCCAAAGCTGGGGACAGATATTCGCCCAACCGCTCCGCAGCCGCCAGCGCCCGCCGTCCGCCCGCCCGCGCCGGCAGCCCCCGCCCGCGGCCCCAGCGCGCCCCTGCCGGCACCTTGCAACCCCAGAGGCCGCCCCCTCCCCTCCTAGGCCCGACTCGGCGGCCCTCTAGCTCCGGGCCGCGCTGGCTTCGCAAAGAGAGAGAAAGAACAGAAAGCAAAACTTCCTGGCGGCCGACGGTCATCAGCTGCACATTCTGCAAATGCCACCGAGTAAAAATAAACCGGCCGCCGCTCCGCCCGGCCGGCTCACCCCGAGCGCACGACTCGGCCCCCTGCCCCGGCAGCTACAGGACTGTCCGTCTGACCCAATCCCCCATTCCCGCGCACCCCTTGCAGCCCCGCTCCCCAACACTATTCCGCCAGCCACCATGCGCTCCTTTGCCAAGAAGCCAGAACCCAAAAGACAGGGTGGTCCAACCATTTCCCCTTTAGTGTCCCCTGAGCCCAAACAAGCTACTCTTCTCTCTGTCCTCCACCAGGTGCCTATTTCAGCCCTGTGCTCTCGGATTCAGGGTTCTTCCTCCCCAAATGCTAAGCCCCCAGATCACCCTCTGCCCACCTTGGGGCACAGACCCTTCCAGACCCTCTCCCACCGCTGCAGAAGCCCCCGGGATCGCATCGCTCCACCCGCCAGCTGGCCTGCCCGGCCAGCGTCCCACGTCCCCGGGCGCAACTTCTCTCCCCGCGCACACAACAACCGCCGCAACTCCCCGGAACTTTTTCCCAGACCCAGGCGGGCTTCGGCCAACAGCCCAGCGGCTTTGAGTCGGTGCTTTGACTCTCTGTGCCGGTGCCCAGCGTTGCCAGCCTGCGCCCGGGGAGGCTGGGGGGTGGGGGAGAGCGCGAGAAGCGCCACTTGCCGCGCCTGGAGCAGCGCACTTGAGATAAACTTCCCAGGCAAAGATGAAAAAGGGGGCGCCGCTCCCCCCATCCAACAAACCTCTTGCCTTGGTTTTCTCATCCCGGGCACCCCTTGGCACCCTGAGCCTAAGCGAACACTGCCTACCTCTGCCGGAAGCACACACACCCCGGTGTCGGGGTACAAGAGCCGGCTGAAGGGGATCCCCACCCGCCCCTTCCCCTGGGCAAAGTCTTGCAAAGTCACCCCAGCGCCCCTCACCCCTGCCTCCTTCTCTGCCCTGGAGAGCCACGACCCCTTGTCGCTGGGGGTTGGGGTGCGTAGGGAAAGGAATGATCACCCAGTATTGGCGAACACCTGCCCCCCCCCAGCCCACAGCGCGGGGGGCGCCCCCACCCTATTTGCAAAGTCGTGCACTCGAACCTGGCACCTCCCCCTCTTCTCCCCTACCCTGCCGCCCCCTCAGTTGGAGTAAGTGACCCCCAGGAGCAGCAGCCCTCCCCTCCCCAGGAGCCGCGCGCCGGGCATTCCCCTGGCCACAGCGGGCGACGAGCCACCCCATGCCGGGGTGCCAGCCCTCCGTGCCCCCCAGAGGCTAATTTTCCAAAAACAGATGGTCAGGATCTAAAAGAAAAGCAAGTATACCTCAACCCCCACAGGCAGAGAAATCTAACTTTGAACTTCTTTTTAAATTAAAGTGGGGGGGGGCTAGAT